ATGTGCTGAATCCAGTGGGAAGGGTGTGAATTGGCATTTGAGTTTTCAGAAAAAGAAGGATGCCCTCATTGTGTGGCTCCACTTATAGCATGTGGTTTCAGTCTCCAGTGGGCAGTTGGACTATTCTGCTAGCATTTGTGCTGGCAATGGGAAGGCTCAGTACCCACAGGGCAAGTCTCAGTTTATCTTCCTGCTGCACATGTGGCCTTGAACAAATTATTTGACCCCTTCAGGGCTTGGATTTCCTCATCTATGAAATGGGACTGATCTCAAATCCATCCCTTTGGCAGTATTTCCGTATACCAATCTGTATTTTGGTAGTAATAATCTTATCGATGCCTAGAAAAGTACTCGATTCAAGAAAGTACTTGCTGACCAAAGGTGATTAATAAAGAATACTGTACAAATTTTCCTACTTTGAAATAAGACTGAGTGTTTTAATCCACTTGTTGTTCTGGGATCCTGTTTCTCTGAACCCCCCAGTTGGTCTCTGAACCCCCCAGTTGGTCTGGTTTGATTACTCAACAGATCTAGAAAGTTCAACTGAGGCATGGACGAATCTAAAGTGGAGGTGTGTAGAAACCAAAAGTGAAACTGGAGCAGCACAGGCAGCATGAATAGAAAGCAAAAGTAACTTTGCACAAGCTTTAGTATAGCAAAGAGAAATTTCATTTAAGAACAAAGAGAAAGCTTAGATCACTTCCAAAAAGAGTTGGAAGTATCTCTTGAATTGTTTGTAACTTTTTCATTGGTCTCTGCCTCCAGGCACCTTTGTCCTTTCCTATCAGTTGTTGATTAACTCAGTTACCTCATACTAACATCCTTCTTTCCCTTTTTTGTAGAGAATTGACGCATGCTGATCATAGCTTTTCCATAACGTTTCTGTGGGCCCTCCAGACTTACTCATTCAGCAAGTCAGGGTTTTCCCATCCCTCATGAAGTCCCTTTACTTTGTCCCTTCTCATATTGGGATTTCAAAAAAATTTTTTTAAATTATTTTTCAGGGTCCTCTTTATTCTATGGATTTTAAGACTTTCGGTTTCTTGACAGTGCTAGATTTTCTTCTTTCCCACATCCCTAGACAGCATTGATTAGCATTCAGGTTAAACAAGTGCCATATAATGCCTTAAAGCTTGGGGTAGGTTTTCTTACAGGAGCATGTATTGAAAGCATCAAAGTATTTGGAAGATTTTTTTTTTTTCTTATTCCCACAGGCCTGTCTAAACATATAGTTCTCCATGGATGAAAATGTTAGTAAAATTCAAGTTCCAATGGCAGTTTTTTAAAAACCATGTTTTATTTAAAGTTCACAGATTGTACCTAGCTGGGACAAGAATTTTCAAAGGAAAAGGCAAGCTTACTGCTTTGTCTAATTCTGGGGCAATGTGCTCTCCCTGTTGGCCCCCATACTGACCTAGTTTAACGAGCAAATTAGAGAACAAGAGTTTTCAATTTTAGGGAATGTTGCCTTACATAGGACAATTTTCGATATTAAAACTTCATCCCCACTGAAGCAACTAAGAATTTTGAGAATCTACTATGTGCCAGATATTGTGATAAGTACTTTTTAAAAATATATTATCTTACTTATTAAAAAAATACTAGAAAAGTAACATTGTGCAATTCTAAATAACTACCCACATTCATGCAGCTGGCTTGAGACAGAGTTGGAATTCAACCCTCAATTTTCTGCCTCCAGGATCAGTGTATTCTGCAGAATTGTGCTTTCTCACTCTTACCATCGCTGATTGCTTGGTTTCTCTGATTATTTTCTTATGGAAAATGCTTTAAGTCTTGCTATGTTATTATCTAATTCCATTAGCTTTTTAATAGTTTTAATTTATTTTCAAATATTTTCTCCCAGTTGGTGGCTTATCTTTTATGACCTTAGCTGCATCTTTCAAAGAGAAGTCCTTAATTTTGATGAAGTCCAATTGATTTTTTTTTTTTGGTTGATTGTGTTTTTGGTGTTGTGTCTAAGAAATCTTTGTCTTTCTTGAGGTTACAAATATTTCTTCCTCTATTTTCTTCTAGAAGTTTTGTAATTTCAGGATTTACATTTTAGGTATATGATCCACTTTGAGTTAATTTCTATGTATCTTGTGAAGTGTGAAATGAAGTTTTTTTTTTTAATATGGATATCTAATTGTTCTGACACCATTTGTTGAAGACTATACTCTCTCCATGGCATTGCCTTTACACCATTTGTATATGAATCTATTAGTGGGCACTCTGTTCTGTTCCGATGATCTCTTTATCTCTATGCTAATAACAAACTGTCATGATTACTGTAGTTTAATAATGAATCTTAAAGTCAGGTGATATAAGTCCTTTAATTTTGTTCTTCTTTTTCAAAGTTTTCTTGGCTATGCTAGATCCTTTATCATTTCTTCAGTTTTTAGTGATTCAGGGATACAGTTATAAAAAAGCATCTAAAATCTAAAAATAATTTAAAGTTACAAATTTCTATAGAGCTGTATGGAAACATTCCATAATGTAGCTTCATCAGGAAGTGAGGCACTCTGGGCATCATCTTCCATGTGGTTAATAAATGAAAATGGCTGCACATACTTTGTATGGATTGCCAACTTTCAAAAAACTTAGACCATAATAATTTATACTAGAATTGTATTACAACTTTCATCCATGTTTCAGAAAACACTTTGAAGCATAGAATATTTTAGTTATGATGAGTTGATGAGCACCAATTGTCATTGTATTAGCAAAGTAAAAGAGAGATTATTGCTGATTAAAGAGAGCAAATTACTCTTTACCATAGACCATAGTATCTACTCTACTCTTGATTTGTTGAATACATTTCTTCAAATATCTAAAATGTTTTATTTGGTAGTGATGTACAAAGCATTCTGTCTCTCAATAAGGCATATCTCTGATTATTTTAAACTTGCTGTCTGCTGGGAATAGTGAGGGGTCACTATTAATTAGGCCACTGAAGCCCTGGAAGTGTTAGCCATCACTGTCACTGTGTGATGTTAAGCAAGTTATTTACCTATCGTAAAATGAAAGGTTTGGACTAGTCAACCTTGAGTGACCCATTCAGATCTAAAATATTTTTACTCTAAGAATCTTTATTCACTTTAAAAATAACAAAACAAAATCTCTTAATGGCAAAAAGCACTGTGCTTTCTCAGACAGGAAGTAGGAGTCTTTTGATGTACCACAAATTTCCTTGCACCACTGATGACTCTACTTTCAACTACGGCCAACACTGAGCAGCTGAGATGGCATTTATGGTTCCTGGTGCTGTGATACTTTGTAGTCCCTGAAACCCCAATATTCTGAGAAGGAGAAGAATTGCTTCTAAACCCAGGCAATTCCAAAGGTTCAGAGATCTCTTGAATTGGCAGTGTAGACTTTCAAATATATCTCCAAAGCTAATGGTAAGGCATTAAAAACAAGAGGACTTTAAATATTATTATCATATTTTCTATGCCAGGGCACAGGAGAGCCACTCTGCTCATATTCTATATGAGTGTTTTTAAACCCTTATCTCATAGCATATTTTAACCTGTAGATGAACCTGTAGATGAAGTAAATCTGTGGCACACTTAGATTATATTGATCAAAAAATAAGAAAAGAATATACTTACTGTCCTTTGAACTTCTTTTGAAAATAATTTAATTTAATTAAAAATTTTCATGGCATACCTAAGATCCTCTCATGGCACACTGGGTGAAAATCACTGTTCTATATGATCACTGCTGTACTAACAGAATGGGAACCTTAAGGAGCCAGAAGTTTACCAGGAAGTGCAGAAGATAGGCATGAATGACAAATAAAATAGGGAACATTTATTGAGCACTTGCTGTGTGCCAAGCACTTCTCATGCATTATATAATTTAATCGTCACAACAATCTTGAAAAGTAGGCACTGCCTCCTTCTCACAAATGAAAATGATGCTTAGAGGGTTTCTGTTACTTGCCCAAGGTCACATAGTGGTAAATGGCAGAGATGGTCTTCAAAAATCCATATCTGTTTCCATCTCAAGCTTAAACTCAATAACTACATCAGAGGCAAGTTATCAAAAGTTAGCCAGCACATTTAGAGAGTAAGTGAATCTGTAGTGTGAGTTACAAGATCTACACCAAGAATAACAAGTACTGATGGGTGTCTTTGGGGTAGACTTGATGGAAGAAAAATTTCACAGAGGGTATCCTGAAGACATTATTTTAAGTTACATTTTAAAATGAAGGACATGAATTGGCTTAGAGAGAAAGATAAGTTTATGCTGAGGAGATAGACTGTACAAGGCTGTGAAGATACAAATGAACAAATTATGTGTTCAGGAAGCAACATAAAGACTTACTCATTGTGGGGTAATAGCCAGAAATAAAGCTGATGTAATAAGGGTGAACATCCAAGAGACTTCACTTTATTATGATAGGCACTGGAGATCCACTAAGCAAGGGGAGGAACATAATTAAAATTGTCTTTGATTTTGCAATTTATCCTGAAACTCATATGGGGTAAATGTGAGCTTTGAGCACATTAGGGAAGGTCAAGAGAAAATTTCTTAGCAAAACATGTTTGATACTCGTAAATTATCTTCAAGAGTACAACATAGCTTGCCTCACTAAGATCTTATAGCCTTAAGAATGCAATGATACTGTATTTAGGCCTTAAGTGAAGAGGACTTGAATACAGATTTTACATAATTTTCAGAGATAAAGGTGACTAGTCTACTGCAGTTAAGCTATCAGTACATTCCTTTTTGGCCCATCATTACTGGTATTGAGCAGTATACATAAAAGGTACACAGAAGGATTATAGATTAAAGTCAGGGCTGGACAAATAGAAATCTCTCAGTAATATGTGTTAAATTGATTTGAATTCAAATCCACTTTCAGATAACAATTGCTGCTCCTGAGTGATGGCTCATGTATTTGGTGAATTATAGCTGGGTCTCTTCCATTATGAATCCGCTCATGCTAACTTAATATCTCTTCACTCTCTCTTTCTCTCTATTTCTCTCTCCAGTTCCAGAGACCTAATGACTTCTCACCCCCTTTTCGCTTTGGGACTGTGCCCAATGGCAGCACAGAGAGGAACATTCGCAATAACTATGCTGAAATGCACGCCTACATGGGCAAGTTCAACCAGAGGGGTGTAGATGATGCATTGCTCTCCCTGAAAACAGGGTAAGAACTGCTTCCAAGCTCAGAGTCCTTCACATGCTTCCCACATTTACTATACATATACTTGGTCAGATGTATTTGCATGTCATGCTTGGTGCCAAAAAAAGCTAAATCAAAGATTTCTTGTGTTCTTTATGGATTTCCAAGTTAAAGTTGATAGTATAATTCAGGCTAGCATACAGAAATTTCATGCCATTCTTGACTTCTGTGTATTTCCTTAATAAATTATTTTCTATTTATGTTCACGCAACTATGAAACAGAAATGATATAGATGTGAAAGTAGGAGGGAAGAGTCAAGGATGAGGTTCATGGGTTACATATGGTATAAAAGACCTTTTGTAGTAAGAGGTGAAAATGATGATTCTCCTTAGGGATGAGGGAGAAATAAATGGAAAAATATGTAAAAGTGTTAAGAAGAATTTGTCAATGGATCACCAATTTCAGCTTGTGTTGGCATTCTTTGCGGCCCAGCTCTGGACTCTAGGGGGTATTTATCCATTGAAAGGAGTTCGTGCATTCCAAATATATTGGTTTGCATAGTCCCAGCCATACTTGTTCTTTTGTTCATTTGGGTTCTAGAAGCTACAGCTGTGGAATATGTCAGATAATTTCACATTATAGATGTTGGCATTTAAGGGCCAAGAGGGTATGGTAGCATTCCCTGTGTAGGATAACCAGTAGCACTTGGACCTCTTCTCAACACTCCCATAGCTCTAGGTCTAGAAGAGCTACAACGATACCTGGTTACTTAAAATATTGTTAGATTCCATCTTATCACCATAAATAAAATCACAGGAGATTTCAGAAGAGGGGATTTGAGCTTGGGGGCAGGACCACTTTTGGCAGTCTGACCCTTGGTACACCCACAGTTCTCAGTCATATCAGAGTGTTGGTGTTTTGGTTTGCCATGTTTCTATAGGGTTCATTTTACAAAATATTCTGGGTCTTATCTTGCTGGAAGTGCTTGTTTTTATTCTCGAGAAGAAACAAATCTAATTAGCCTGTAAAAGTGAAGGAGATGATGCGTGCTTTTCTTTCTTACAGACCTCTCTATTACCTGTACAGCTATATTTGAATTTCTTTCTCTGCATTGATAGGTTTCAATGTTGATTTCCAATATTGATTCATGCCTTCCCATCTCTACTCCTGTCCCTCCTCGCTTCCCTATATAATCCTTCCTTGCGAAAAACGATACATGAAATGAGGTTTGTATATGACCAGGAATTTGAGACATCTGAGTTCTTCTATATGTTGCTCTCTCTTATAATGTCACACTTTTTGTTCTTACCCAAGCCTCTGCAACCACCACCCAAACCCCTCACCTCTATCCTTATGCTGCATAACAGAATATTGGAACATTTCTGACCACAAAAATAGCATTGCACATCTATTGAAACACATACACCTACACTTATCCCCACTCTGGACTGTAATGAACTGAGAAATGAAAAATGTTATATAAATCTAACCCTTGCTATTTGCTGCTATCGTTGTGGTGGTTACTTTTCATTATTTCTGTTATTATTTTTATTGATTCCTTTTTACTCCTTCTTCTTTTCAGACACAGTTTATGAGTTGGCTTCAGGCCCAACTTACATTTTCATCATTCCCAGTGGGAGGAAAAGAACTCCTCTTTTCAACCTGAAATCTCATAAAGAACAGCCTGGAATTTAGGCTTTAGATTCTGGCAGAGTTCCAACTTAAACCTCACTTTGGACCAGTTCTTTCCCTAGTTTGCTGGAACCCTATGCTTCATGTTAATGGCCCCATAGGTAATTTTGTTCTGGAATTCCTCCACTGGATTCTGTTTGCTTCTTTCTCATGCAGGAAGCTGGATGCCTTCATCTATGATGCAGCAGTGCTGAACTATATGGCAGGCAGAGATGAAGGCTGCAAGCTGGTGACCATTGGCAGTGGGAAGGTCTTTGCCTCCACTGGTTATGGCATCGCCATCCAGAAAGATTCTGGGTGGAAGCGCCAGGTGGACCTGGCTATCCTGCAGCTCTTTGGAGATGGTAAGTTAAAGACAGAGAAAGGTGCTCATTTGTACCAATGGCTGGTACAAAACACCAACATTTTCTTCTTCTCCATATCTTTAACATGTGCATTTCCAGAAAAGCATTTCAGACAACACTGTGAGTTTGGGGGTAATGTTAGTGTCCTATTGTGCCGTAACAAAGGACCACAAACCAAGAGGATTAAACAAAAGAGTGTCTTGTCTCACAGTTCTAGAAGATAGAGGTCTGAAATCAGGGTTTCTGCAGTGTTGGTTCTTTCTGGAAGCTTTAAGGGAGAATCTGTTTCATGCCTCCTCCCTAGTGTCGAGTGGTTGGCTTGTAATCTTGGATGTCACTTATCTTGTAGAAGCATCACCCCAGTCTCTGCTTTCATGTTCCCTTGTTCTACCTGTGTGCATGTTTTCCCTCCTCACCTGTCTGAGTCTGAATTTCCTTTATCTTAATAATACCAATCATATTGGATTAGAGGCCCATGCTACTCCAGGGTGACTTCCTTTTAACTAGTTGTATCTGCAAAGATCCTATTGCCAAATAAAGTCACATCTTGCCAAAAATCCTATTGCCAAATACAGTCACATCTTGAGGTAGGACTTCAACATGTGGATTTTAGGGGAGGATTAATGTAATATGACAAGGTGGTATGCTTCTGGGTTTCAGGCAATAATCAAACCTTCAGGAATAAATTGGGAGAGACTGGTATTAAATCATCTCACATGCAGCCAATAGAGTAGATGGAAGTGTGGAAAGTGCCCAGAAAAAAGTCAGAGAAATAAACCTGTGGCCCTTTATCATTCTTCCCCCTCTTTTCTCTTGCTCTTTCAGCTGGGAGAGGCAAGAGGCAGGGTTAGACAACCTCAGAGGCAGACACCGTCAGCCACCCCCCAGTGTCATCCTGGTGCTGACTGAGTAGCCAACTTGATTTGGGAAAATCTCATCTCCTATTTCATTATACTCCTGTCTTCTGCATCCCTCTTCCCTTTGCTGTCCAAAGCACTGACTCTTTCTGTTAGCTTCCCAGAATCTAATCCTGTTATGGATGAACTGCCTGACTCCACTCGGCTCCACCAGCCATCAGCCAAGTGGCTCTAAATTATATCTGCAGAAGCGTTGCTGTTAGGGATGAGATCAGAAGCAGAAGACCACAGGTAGATTTTTAGACTCCAGGTGAAGCTGGCTGCTCCACTGGTTAGGAGAATCATAGTCTGATCAAATGAATGAGTAAAAAGTGATTTGATTAACATTGCTAAGAGGAGGGCATCCTCGCTGTAGTGTTAACAAGCCATTTTGGTATAAGCTTCTGTAATTTTAGCGTAGCTGTTCCTTAAAGGCAATTACAGAGTCTGTATCTATGAGGAAGGGCAGCAACAGAGATGATGCCCAAAAGTTACCAAAGCTTTTGTCAGATTATGCAAAGAAAGTTCAGATTTTTAACCAAACAGGAACTATCACAATGGGCAGTTTTCTTCATGAGATTTTCAGGGGGTTGCTTGTCTATGATGAGATGCATTCTGGTGCACGTGGTTTCTTTTATTTTCCTTTTTCCTGGAATTTGTATCTTTCTACTTCCTAGGATCCAGTGAAAGAAATAAAAGTTATTGATAGCTTTCATGAATTGAGGTAATCAAAGCATCCCTAAGCAGTGTTAAAAGGAAGGAGGCAGGGACAATTTTACCCAAGCTTACTCCTCTTTGCTCTTTATGTTTTCCTTGACACTGAGAGATAAGTAAATCTGAGGGGCCCTAGGGAATTAATCAATCTCTCTGCCGATCTCTCACTGTCTCTCCTCTCCCTACCCCATCTGCTTTCCACAATTTTTGGAGCAATTTTCGGAATCATTTGTTTGATTATGTTATTCCCCACTGTCTATAAAATAAAGTGCAGTGCTGAGTCTGATACTCAGGTCCTCAGCACTCTTGCATCCATCTTTTTTATTCAGCTGCTTTGCCTACTATTATTCTGTTTGAACTGCTCTGCATGTCTTTCCCTAAACAAGCCTTCTGTTTTCCCATTGATCATTCTATTCCAACTGCCCTGAATGCCTTTTTTAATATAAGTTATAATTTTAATATAAGTTAAAATTCATCTATCCACCATGCCCACCTCCATGTCCTGCCTACCTCAAGAAATCTACTGGCCATGCCATCCACAAAATTGCTCTCTCCTCTTTGAACTCTTGTTACCCACATAGAGCTTCTCATATTGGTTATTTATATACCAACTAATACTGGATAGATAATGCACAGCAGAAGCAGCATGTCATGTCTTTGTATCACCTATAGGACTCATATTGTCATTAAATACTTACTGAGTACGTTGATGAATTCATATAGAGTGGTATTGACAAAATTGCTGTTATCATCCTCTATTCATTTTCTTTTTGTCTCTTTCTCTCTGTCTTAATTCGTGTTTCTCTCCTTCTCCAACACCCTTCCTTCTCCCTTTTCTCTATTCCTGTCATCTTGTCTCTCTTTATCTGTTTTCCTTCTCTGTTCTACCTCCAGGGGAGATGGAAGAACTGGAAGCTCTCTGGCTCACTGGCATTTGCCACAACGAGAAGAATGAGGTCATGAGCAGCCAGCTGGACATTGACAACATGGCAGGAGTCTTCTATATGTTGGGGGCGGCCATGGCTCTCAGCCTTATCACCTTCATCTGTGAACACCTTTTCTACTGGCAGTTCCGGCATTGCTTTATGGGCGTCTGTTCTGGCAAGCCTGGCATGGTCTTCTCCATCAGCAGAGTAAGTGCTTTGATTTAAATTCGTAGAGCTTGCTCAAGACATCTTAGCCTAGCACTGTGTAAAGCAGAGAGACCCAAGAGAGCACTAACTCCAGCTCCATTGCAAAAGCAAGAAACCGCATCATGTACATTTCCCCAGGAGTCTGCGTGGTATAATTTCAAGTGGTTCAAAAAATGGGTGATACTATATTTCCTTCATGAAACAGCTTTCTGTGTGGGATTTAGGCATTTGGTTCTCTATAAGAACTGGCAGATCTATCAAAATGGAATAGTTGGCTTTTTGCCAGTTGCCTTTCATCACCATCAGTTAATTCTATACAGGGTGCATTAATCATTTAATCCTCCTTTTAAAAATGACATTTCTATTCAAATAATGAAATGTTACGTATCTCTCTGGTCCTAACATACACAAAGATATATTATTATTTGTGGTTTCAGTGTCCCACTCTATGTTTTAACCATGTGTAGATTGTGAGGAGTTAAAGAGCTTAACAGAATCTTCAGAAGTAAGTCCTGACTTACAAGAAATTTATATTCTAGAAACTTCTTTAATTGGAGCAAGAGTATAATGCTTAGGTCATTCTTTATTTAGGTCTCTCTTCTTCATTTCTAGTCCAAAGTTAGGCATTAGGAACATAGTTTTGTATGTGAACAGAAGGTCACAGACAGGAGGATATTTTTCATTGTTGTTCTTTGTTTAAAGATGGGATTCTTTACCAATGTTGTGGGACTCATTAATGAGAGGTAAATTTAAATGCCCTTTAAGAACTGAGGTCCATAGTCCAGATATGATAAACTTTGACTCAAATGGATTCATTTAAGAAAATGGATTTCTCATTAAATTGTTTCATCATTTTATCACATTCCCATAGTATTTTACTGCTAGAGAATAATTTCTCCATTCCCCTCTGGCTGTGAGTTAATTCAGGCCATTGAATAGCATCAGGGCAAGAAGGTGGAACTTACAGTAGTTATGGTCCCTGAGCCAGGTTGTTCCACTGTGTGGTCCTTTCCTAAAGTGTCAGATAGGATGATCCCAGAAGCAATGGGAAGTTGTCCCAATGGATGGGGATGAGACAACAGAGGTTTAGAAAGAGAACAGCAGCTATATAGGAAAGAAGAAAGGTTTAGACAAGGTGTGCGTCATTGTCCCACAGGGCATCAGCAAGATAGACCTTGAACCATAAAGAAATTGCACTCATAGGCCTTTGATATAAATCAATGCCTCTATAAAGGAAAAATCCTTAAAAAAAAAAAAAAAAAAAAAAA